ATTTTTCTCATTACTATAGGTAACAAGACAGAATTTGGCAAAATTCATTCCTGATTAAAAATTTTTGTTAAATAAAATAAAAACATCTTAAGTGGAAGGAAACTTGCTTATCTGAATGAAGTATTGTAATATGCAATACTGAGACATTAGAAGAACTCCTATTAAATTAGAAAAAAAGGCACGCCTGCCCTCTATTACTGCTATTAGTCTTAGTTTTAATGGATTTGCTGAATAACAAAAGAAATAAACATTACAATGGAATGAACAAAAAAAATTCTATTATTTTCTGGCAAGATTGCATCTACCAGAAAATTTAAGCGAATCAAGTGACAAACTATTATAACTAATGAAAGCGTTCAGCAGGGTGTTTGAATTCAAGATAAACACAAAATTCAATAATTGTCCTATTAATCAGGAATAAATAATTATAAAATGGATAATTTTATAATTCATGATAGCAAAAATATAAAGAACCAAGAATAATTCTACTAAGAATTTTGCCTAGCCTTTCTGGTGAAATATATAAAAGTTGACAAAGAATATAAAGGAATACTTGGATAAGTGAAGACCCATGTATTGCTCCTAGATGAATAGATTCAATATTTCAATATGTTAATTATCCCCAAATAATCTCTACATTGAGTATAATCCTGCTCAAAATCCCAGTCTATTTTAAAAGAACTTGATAAGCTGATTCTGTAGTTTAATCCACAAGTGTAAGTATCCAAAAACACATAAGAAATTTTTTTTTAAATGTTGAATAATGTAATTGAGGATATCAAGAAGAGTTTGTTTTTCCAAATATTAAAACTTACTTCAAAACTACAGTAAAAAAGCAGTATGAGTGGGGCAAAATTAGATAAATAGGTCAATGGTCCAGAAGACCAAATTTATATACATATGAAAGCTTATTATTATATTAAAAAGTAACCTTTAAAATCAGTGAATAAAATATTGACTTTTCAATAAATGATGTCATCATAATTGACCATACATTTTGAAATAATATATGTGATGCACTTTTTAAAAATCCAGGTAGATTAAATATCTAAACGCAAAATACACCATCAAAAGTACTAGAAGAAAATATAGGAAATATTTTAACAAATTTGTAATAGGAAAAGATTTTCTAACAATGAAGGGTGTTAAGAAGGAAAACAGACTGACAGATTTGACCACATACAGATGTAAAACATATAACATCAAAAACTAAGTTAAAAGACAAGGGGTGGGAGGAAATATTTGCAACAAGTAAAATAGACATAGAGGTGATATCTATAATATAAAAAGAGCATTTAAGAATCAATTAGGAAAAGATGAAAACTAACTAGAAAACAAAGGATATGAACAGACAAATCAAAGAAGAAATATAAATGACAACAAATATATAAAAATATCTTCTGCATTTGTAATCATAGTAACAAATTAAAATAACATTTTTACATTCCTTACTGACAATAATATAAAACAAAAATTCATAATATTCAGTACTAGCATGGTTTGGTGCTATAGTTTTTTTATGAGTGTAAATTGGCGTAGCCTTTTAAGATGGCAATTTGTCAGTATCCATCAACATTTCAACTACATATACTTTTAAACTAGCTATTCTAGCTGTCCTTCTTGGATTGTGTGCCAAAAAGTGCCCACACTTGCATACTATGACATAGAAGGATATTCACTTTGAAACTCTGAGTAACAGCAAATATTGGATCTAACCCACATTTCTGTCATTAAATCAGTTGTTCTATAGTCACTCCATGGAATACGATTCATCCGTGCCAAAGAATAAGATAGATTAATGTGTACATGGAATTAGGTAAATGAGAAAGAACTTTGACTTATCTACTTCTTGGGATTCAAATCATAGGACAGTTAGAGTTCATTTGATCCAATCTTATGGTTATGAGAAACGCTGTCACTTCTCTAAATTTTCTCTAATATTTACAGACAAAAAGGAATCTTGCTCCACTGTGGAAGGAGATGCTACAGGAATTGCTCTGACTTCTACACCAACCGCTGCTCCACTTTCAACTCAGACATATCCCTTCAGAAAGGTCCCACTCCACTCCATGGGACAGAAGTTCCTGAATGTAAGGATGTAGACATGTTGCATTCTCCCTGCTGTCCCTGTAATAAATTTCATTCATTCATTCATTCATTCATTCATTCATTCATTCATTCATTCATTCATTCATTCA